ACAACAAGTATGGTAGCGTTATACCAGTCTCAGTGATAGTGATCAATTAACTACTGTTAAACTCTCTAACAATCTAAGTTCTCCCGTAGTCCCTTTATACCTTGCGTGTGTGTCTTTGACTCCCGTATTTCTGAGTGTCTACTCACTTATGATATTGGCTCACTTGAAGGTCCTGGCTCACCTTGTGAGCTAGCTTACCATGTTACCCTAGCTCACGCGTGAGCCCTCATAGTCCGTGAGTGTTACGAACTTAAGAGAACACACGGGCCAACCAGGACGCTGGTAGCACAACTAACCCAGAAGGGCAAGATTGTGCAATCCCAAGGACGGAAAGGCTCACAAGGCAGGAAAGGGAGCTAGGCTCAACACCACGGGAGTGAGCCCGCGAACTCATCACTACACACTAGGAGTTCACGGTTGCGTGAACATCCGGAAACAGATATCTCGTAGAGGATGAGGAGGTATAAAGGGACGACTGGAGAACTCAGATTGTCAGATAGTTTGACAGTAGTCAATAGATCATTATCACCGGGACTAGTATTACAAACATACTTATTGTGAACCTTTTAGCTTTACCAAACAGCACTGATAGTTATTACCTTCAGCTATCCTACTTAGGCAGATCAGACTGCCGTTCGTTACAGTGAGCCTTTCTAGTTCTGCGCCCTATTAGCTCTTATAGTTACATTGTTCCACTTCTGCGTAGCTGCCGTATCCTAGTAGCTTGGTTGACCCATGTGACGTACTTAAGTTTGTAACATTATAGAATGTAGGACTAAGTAATTTAAATAATTCTAGTCTATAAGTTAGTTAAATAAAGAGTGTATATAGGGTAATTGCTATTACCTCTTTCTCACTTTGAAATTAAGCAATTTCAACTAATCAAATAGCGTAATAGACCTATCCTTCCCTATTAACCTCCCTATTACCCCCCTATAAGAAAATATGAAGCAAGTAAACTACTAACAATTAAACCAAAGTTTATGACAGGCTGGGGTGCATATGCCTAGACGGCCAAACCTACAAAAGATAGGACGATGTTCTACTTGCAAGGCAGAACTTGGAATGCACACTATATAGCCAATGTCAACTTGTGACAGGGTTGATATATAGGTAAGTGTTTAGTAAGAGTGCTGAATACAATCCAAACAAACCCCTTTTTACCTCTGCTGTTTGCTGATTACCTGATAAGGGAACAGGGTGGGGCTGCTAGTTGGGATAATGACGACACCCGCAGAATCCCGGGCACATGCTCAGGGCCGGAGTTTAAGTGCACACTGGATGTGGAACTAGCGATGTGGGACTAGCGAGCCTTGGCAAAAAAAGTCGGGTGAACCATTCTTATCGCTGATAACGATTTTGCCGTTCTTTGCGAATTGCGGTCCCTCAATTCGTCCCCAGAAAAGTCCTGAACAGCCGAAGTGGTACCTTTACGGCCAAAGTCGAGATTTGAACAACCGCTCAACTCCTGGACCACGGCGTCGTCAATTGCTGCGCGAGACTTCGGACAAAACGCCCACAAGCGCCCATCATCCTCGCTCTCTGATCGCCAGACTTGTTCTGGCTGATCACTGAACCCATCCACAGAGGAGAGAAACGTCGACCAAAGGATCTTCTTCACAATGGAGTCGCTGCCGGCCACCAGGAGGGTACCCGGTCCCTCCGACCAGCACTACAAGGGCGAACACATCCCGCTCGTCGTATCCCGCGAAACGGGCGACATAGTACCAGAGTCACACCAAGCCGATCCGCTAGTACGGCCAGACAAGACCGAGGCGACACCCTTTGCAAAATCATGGGCGCACTTTGTTGCAGGAGGGTAAGCAAGAACCACTTCCTTCACGGACGGGGAAAGCTACTTGCGCCCCGTCAGGCAGAACAAAAGAAGAGAGTTCTGAGCTTAACACTTCGCGCGCTCTCGCGCACATAACAGAATCGGTGGTATGACATCCGCAGCCTTAACCGCCCCATTAGACGTTCTCAAGACCCGTCTGCAGTCCGACTTCTACCAAGCACAACTCAAAGCCTCGCGACAATCGCACCTCGGAGTGCCCCTCAACCCGGTTCGCGCCGCCTGGTACCACTTTAGCGAGACGGGCCAGATCCTGTCGTCCGTCTACAGGCAAGAAGGCCCCCGCGCCCTGTTCAAGGGCCTCGGCCCCAACCTCGTCGGCGTTGTGCCCGCGCGCTCCATCAATTTCTTCACCTACGGCAACGGCAAGCGGCTGATCGCCAAGTACTTCAACAACGGACAGGAAAGCACATGGGTGCACCTCAGCGCGGGCGTGCTGGCGGGCATCGTGACGAGCACGGCGACGAACCCGATCTGGATGGTCAAGACGCGGCTGCAGCTGGACAAGAACGTGGCGGCCGAGAGCGGGGGCGTGACGAGGCGGCAGTACCAGAACAGCTACGACTGCATCCGGCAGATCCTGCGGAACGAAGGGCTTCGGGGCCTGTACAAGGGCATGAGCGCGAGCTACCTGGGCGTGGCCGAGTCGACGCTGCAGTGGGTGCTGTACGAGCGCATGAAGACGGCGCTGGCGTTGCGGGAGGAGAAGATCGTGCAGAGCGGCCGCCAAAAGACGTGGTGGGACCACGCGGTCAACTGGACGGGCAATGCGGGCGCCGCGGGCGGCGCGAAACTGGTCGCCGCCATCCTCACATACCCCCATGAGGTCGCCCGCACCCGTCTACGACAGGCGCCCACGGACGGCAGCAAGCCCAAGTACACGGGCCTGGTCCAGTGCTTCAAGCTCGTCTTCAAGGAGGAGGGCATGGCCGGTCTGTACGGTGGTATGACGCCGCACATGCTGAGGACGGTGCCCAGCGCCGCCATCATGTTTGGCATGTACGAGGCCATCATGAAGCTCCTTGGTACCCCGTCATGAAGAACCGAACAACGATGATGCGGGATCACGATAACTCAATCACGGATTGAGACGGCCGGACGGACGGATGTTGACGACCCAAGAGGAATGGGGAAAACGAACCGACAGTCTCGGCCCCCTACAAATCTATCCTCCGACTTTTGGGAGACACCGAAGACGGGCGTTTTCTTCAAACCTCAGCCAGCCATGTACGAATATTTTGCCTTTGGACGATGCCGCTTATAGAAAGGCACAAGCGTCCGCGACCAACTCCCATCATCTCCTCTGTCGACCTCCCTCGTGCCCGGCAATCACAACATGAACAAACCGGTTCTTAATATCAACCCCCACTCTTCGAATTTCATGAATTTCACACACAACCCAACAAACAGCAGCGGCCAGGCATCGACGGAAGAGACAGATAGGGGCAGAGGAAATCAATGTACGATAAGTGTTAGAACGGGAAAGAGCTGGCTGGGAGGGTTCTCGGTCGGGGATGGAGCGAAAAAATTGAAGGGGGCAAGACAGGTATCAAGGAGCTCAAGGAGCTCTGAGGCTATCATACCATACCAACTGAGGGCCTCGCTCTGTACGGGTATCATCTAAACCGGGGATAAGGGGAAAGGACAGCGGAAAATTACAATTGGATTTGTAGAGAATAGAAATTAAGGGAATTGCAGATCAATGTCTTCTTGATCACCATCCATTGCCGTTACTCATGGTCAGCGTGTATGGCATTTCATGCGTAAAAAAAAGGAACCGATGTTTCATTCTCAATGGCTAACATCACATCATCAACCACATCTTCCCTGATACCGCTGGCCTTTTAAAACATGTACACTTAATAATGATCAACGGAGGTGTAGCCTTTGCCTGCTTTCCTCCATCCCGATCATTTCACTCATAAAGTACGGACAAGCCATCCTCTTTCACACTTCCCTGCAGCAAACTTCGGGCTTTCTGTTTCAACCATCGCCACAATCACAACTCCTTATTCATCGACGCCATCACCCACCACCAGCTTACACAAAGCCTGCGTGTCCGCCCAGCCCCTTGGAGGACGTTTCCGCAATTTCCTCGGCGTTCTTGCCATCGTCGACGATTGTGACTGTGACTGTGACTGGCGATCCCTTTGCGACTGTTGTGGCGATAACGACGATGACGTTGACGGTGATGGTGAAGTAGTGGTGGTGGTATAATTACTAGTAGTATTGGTATTGTTTTGGAGGATTGGTTCAACAACGCTATCATGGTTATTACTGGCTAACAACGCGGAAGGAGAGAAAAAAACAGAAGAAGACAAGGTCGACAACGTGGACAACGTGGACGTGGTAGTAGACATGGATGAGCGGCGTGGAATTGCTGCTACTCCCCAGCTTTTGTCGCGGAAGAGGAGTCACCATGCGTTGCGGTCCCAGTTGGGGTCTACAAAAGGTGGTAGATGTCAGTGGTTAGCCAGGTTACATCGGATTGAAGGGAGTGAAAAGGGAACGGAGGAGGAGGAGGAGGAGGAAGAGGAAGAGGAAAACTCACCCTGCACAAAAGCAGCCAACACTTTGCTCCCTGTTTGCAGCAGGGGATGTCCCACGACGATCTTGAGGAACTTCTCCAACCCGGCCCTGCGGCCCTCGATTACGTCGTCGCTGAACCGGTTGGTGAACACCTTGCCCGGAAGAGGGGGGATCGTCACGCGAGCGCTCTCGCGCTCCAGGATGTCGCGGAAGTACTCAAAGTCCGAGTAGCGACGGCGCACCGTCGACTGCCGCAGCTTAAAGGCGGGGATGTTGGTGCGACATACGATCTCGTAGTCGGTATACATGTGACGGCCGATACCGTGGGTTCGTGGGTTGCGGACCTGTTTTGTGTGGGTGGGCATGTCAGTTTGGGTCCCGTCTGATGTATTTATGGTGGTCGCTGTCGAGGATGGAGTTCCGGCTCAGGTGGCCCGGTCGGCCTTTTGATAGAGCGAGTCGACCGGGACGGGGTGAAGACTAGAACTAACCTCGATCTCCAGAAAGTTCTCAGGCGGTCCGTAGATCTCATCGAAGGACTGTTGTCGCGTGTCTGGGAGGGACTGCATGATGGGCCGGTGCAGACGGGCAGCGGCTGCCGCCGCCGCCTTCGCTTTATCTGATTGAGAGCCCGTTGGGCTGACCGGACTGGTGGGCGAGGTTGGTGAGGTAGGAGAGGTCGCGCGCGCACCAGAGGCGGCGGCTCCGTAGTCGCTGTAGGACGCCGTTTTCGCGGTTTGGGGAGGACGTTGGTTGGTGGTTATTGTCGAACGCACGGAGCTGGTTTCCCGGTTAAGATGGCGGGAATCAGCTTGAATCTCCTGTTGAATTCGGCGCTAGAGGGGTTGTTTTGTCAGAGGAGGACTTGGGCAACAGCGCAGCTGATAGTGTCGATGGACGAGGAAGCAAGGTAGCTCGGGTGCAATGGATGCGGTTGTCGTACGTTGATGAAAGTGGAAGAACTTACATGAGACAACTTTGGAGAGACCAGATCTGAAGGTGGGGGTTGCCGGTTGACGTTGGAGGGAAACAAAGATACGAGGGGAAGCTACACCTGGAAATACGAGCTCACGAAGCCGTAACCACGGTATGAGGGGGAGCCCAGGCTAAACGGGAACCCGATGGATTCGACCCAGTTCCAGCATCCCGGTTCCAGTGCGCTTGATGACGATCCATGCCAAGGTGGGGATGCGTTACCGTAAGATACGTTAACACTTTACATTACCAATGCAACCCGCCACTTGTTGTGTCTGCAAAGTCAACATCCAGAAAAGCATGCTACATGTTAACCGTCAGTATCGCGAAGAAGTTAGAATGAAAAAGATAAGTTTCATTAGGTTCGAGAAAGCGTCGGTCAAGCTATTTTGACCAATTGGTTATTTATAAGACCCTGACTCCACGTATGTAGAGCATGCTTCGAAGCTTCAAAGAAGCATCAGCAAGTACCCCAGTCGCAAACTCTTCTCCCATACGTTTCACTAATCTATTGATTATGTTTGTGTGTTTATACTCACAAGTCTGAGAGATTAACCATGCATAGTCTTCGTTTTCCAGTCGTTGTATGGCTCAGTAGTCGCCTGACAAGCTGTGTAAGTGCGACGAGGTTGGCATGAGCTTGGCAAAACGAAGGAGTGTTGTTTGACGAAACAATGAATTCCTCACCTGCGGTCCCGATCCAAAAGCTCATAGCTCGTACACTAAGCCCTATGCAAGGGCGTATATCTGGGGTTTGGTCCGCTAGGAAACGTCCATCTTCTCATCCAGCAGAAAGTTATCGGCACGCCTTGGTTGAAGACTTGCCCAATGGGTAACGGTCAACCGCTCGGTGAGATCATCAAGAGAACTTTCAATATGTCGGACCCCTCACTTCTTGTCGGCAAACTTTTGGTGGATGGCCTTGATCTGCTCGTCGAGGTTGAAGGTCTGCAGCTGGTTGATGTGTGCCTGACTCCTGCCATCGGGATTTCCGTCGTAACTGTGCATCGCCACCTTCTTCCTTCGGGCTTGTTCTTCCTCGGATACGGGTTGGCCAGTTACTGCATCGAAAAGATCGGTACGTGCGCTAGCCAGTCGCTTGAGATTGTTGGCAACGTCCACGGTTGAGAGGTTAGTTGTAGCAAATCTCGCGTCTGACTTGGCCTTTTGTTCCTTCCACCGTGGATCAAGGAGTTCAACTAGTGAGGTGGTTAGTACCTCGTTTGAACGTATTTGGGGTATAGCAGTTTGCTTACTTCTCATATGCTCGTCCAGTTCGTTAAGGGGAATTTGCTGTTTGCAGTTGGGGCACAAAGCCATTTGTGAACCGAACTTGTTGGCCGCGCGCTGCGCTGCACGAGGAACATAGTTATCCTTGATCTTCATGGGCGCCAGTCCGCCGGTTGGTTGCACTCGTGCCCTAGCCTCTTGTTCCGCCCGCGCTCTCTGCGCCGCATCCTCCTCTTCTGGCCTCGAATGGCTCCCAACAGGTAGAGGGGTGCCATATGCCTGCGGGGCATTGGGTGTATTCGAAGATTGGTATTGCTGTTGCTGGCCTGGTTGAGACGGCGCCGCTTGGACTCCGTATTGTTGCGGGGGTAAGCGTTGTAGTTGGTATCTTCGAAGGGGAAGGCCTCTTCGATCCGCAGGTTCGAGCTGATCGACATTTTGTTCTTCTCTTCTAGAGAAGCATACTGGAGGTCGTTGAGCGTTGTGGGAGGGGGCAAGTTAGCCTGGTCGTCTGATTCCGAAAAGACAATGGTCTCAACGACCACAAAGTCATTCCAGTCGATCCGAGCAAACTCGATTTTCTTCTTTTCCTCCTCCTCCTCCTTCTTCGCCTTTTCAGCCTCCTGCCAGATCGCATACTCGGCCCTCTGTTTGGCACGCGCCAGCACGTGGTACTTGTCGTCAACGTTCAGCTTGAGTTCGGCAATGCGTTCTTGTTGTGCCTGGTTGCCTTGTCCGTTGACACCGCTTTCGCGCAAGAGGATGGAGTACTGGTCGACCATGCTCTGGAAGAAGTTATGGAAGGTGTGGTTCGGTATCAGGAACTGGAACTGCGGGTTGCTGGCCTCACGCTGGGAGAGCTGTGTCATGAATGGGCGGCCATTCATTGCGACGAACAGGGCGGTTAGTCGCACAATTTCCAAGTCTTTCTGGCTCATACGAGGCATACGGGCTGAGAATTGGAAGTCGGGCGGCTTGGGAGGGCCCCTTGGCTCTTCCTTGACTGGGGCTGCGGCAGCCTCGCCGACGCGACCAGCGGCAACGGCGGTGCCGCGTCCGGCCTTGATTTCTGATTTTCGCCATTCGTAGTACGCGTTGTAGGGGTCGCTCGAGGTCATCAAGAAGCTGAATTTCGGGTTCTTGCCATGGTTTTCGCGAATGCGCTGTTCGAGCCCCAGTCCACCACGCATAACATATCCGGCCGTTTTCTCGATCGCCTCGCGAATCTCGCCCGGTGGCGGGATGATAACTCCAGGCGGCGGCTTGATGTTGTCAAGTGAAGCCGCCGTTGCGGAAGGCTCGCCATTTGTAGTCGCGGCCATTGTGTCGTATGGATCGCCGATAATTCCGGAAACGGCGAGGTGACAGTCGGTGTCGACTTGTTGGTTGGATGGGATGATGATGTTGTTCCAAAGAAAAGATGGCTTTGCACCTTGTAGGGCGGTTTGACCAACTGCAATATGATTGGCTCGTGCGCGTCAATACCCACACCGATCAAGTCCTGGCCCAGGCCGACCCAGCGCCGCTCAGAGCCTTACTGTATAATTGTACTGTGACCGGGACAAGGCTGTTTGTTACCGGCGGACGGGATCGTTTCGTGGGTCGCGGCGCTGCTCATTGCATATTGGAGATAGTGTTTTGCTGGGAGCCCAACAGAATAGACAGAACTGTAGCTTCAATAGAAGTCTAGAAATAAATGCGAATATAAATTTTAAACTTATTATATACGAAACAGGATAAATCTTCTAAAAAAATAAAAAATCTTTTTAACACACTTTTTTTTTTCTTTTTTCTTTTCTTATTTACTTTTTTTTACAAACTTTTTGTAAAAATATTAGGTAAAGATAAGGAATGTGACCCCGGCCCAGGACGTAGCCCGAAGATAAAAAGAGAATAATAAGATAAGAAACTATAGAACGAGCTAATAAAGAAGCTCTAAATGGAGGCTCCTTATCAAAAGCCGGGCGCCGACGGCCGAGCTCACTAAAGTTCGTATAAAGTCACTCAGGTCCGCCTTAAGAACTATCCGAATTCCTACTAAATAGACCCACTAAGGCTTGGCGCTTGGCGCTTACTGCCCGGATTGAAGAAAAGAGGTCCTCTCGGTCCTTTAGAGAGCGGCTGTTTTGAGAGACTTCACAAGCTGCCATGTCGCGCTAGCCCGGTGTTTGTGTTGCACATGTCACCGAATCCAACTTGGTCTTTTTCCGTCCCATTCTTCAGTCTTCACTCTGATATTTCTTCTACCAACTTGACCATCCTTTCCGCCATCAAGCTCCGTCGATGATGTTAATAAAGATTCGTCGCATAGCGAGTGGAGGTAGCAACGATGCACACGGCAGGCCAACCGCCGCTCACATGCGTTGGTGTAAGAGTATAAAAAGAAAAATCAAGAGCGCGGAACCGACCGTCAGACTGCACTGCACTGCAGTTCAAATTGGATCCAAGTGTTGGACCTGTTGGTGAGCTGTCAATGGCACCCAGAAACTGGGGAGCTCGGCCTTGCGTGGGGCACCGTGTAAGCGGGTGGCCAATGGAATCGCTCGGTGGAGCTCAAATGAAGTTCGACGCACGACGGGGGAGGGGTGCCAAGGCCCGGGACAGGGGCTGATATTGAGGCCACTTAAGCTCCATCATTGACCCTGCCACCTTCCGCTTCTCTTGGGCCGACCAGGCCACTGCACCTGTCCACCTCAGCTTCAGGCAGAGCCAGAGCTACGAGATTCCACGGGTCCATTTGCGAGCGTCACTTTGATCACTTTTAGACTAAATCCTAGGTTTGTGCCCCTTTCATAAGCTACCTCTTTTCCATCTTCCTCCACTTCCTTTCTCCAGCCTCTCACTGTATTAACAAAGGTCCAAGGCCAGGACGGATTTCATCAGGCCCGAGTCGTTTTGCACTCGTCTTCCCTTCCTCTTTTCGATTCCTATTCTCTTGACTACCATTACTTACTCTTCTTCCCCACGCCCAGTTTTCCGATCGGCCCCGGAAAGTTCCCATTCCGCCTCGTCGGAACTACCCATGACACGGGCAGCCCTGTCCAGTCCTAATGACAGTTTAACCTTCTTCGACTCTCGTTAATCTTTATTTTGCGATCACACCGATCAGTGACCCTACCTACGAGGTCCCCGAAACCTTCTACACGTCCCATCTCGATCCGAAACCGACTGCTGTCCTACCCATAGTTGCGTCAACATGGCCCGCTCCGGCAAGAAATCGCCGGCGCCGCCGCCGGCATACGCCCCGGCCTATGCCCCGCCGCCCGCCTATGAAGCTGTGCCGACCTCCGCCGTCGTATTCAAGACCAAGAACAATAAGAACAAGTCCGTCAAGGTCAAGGACGACTACTCGTCCGATGGTGTTCAGGACAATGATCCGTTCCTGCTTCCCGGATCCGACTTCACGCTCCTCACTATCACCACGATTGTGTCCGCCATTGTTCGCCTGTTCCGCATTTACCAGCCTTCCAGTGTCGTGTTTGACGAAGTCCAGTATGTAGCCAACCCATGGAAGGATATAGTTGCCTCTATTGGCAGGATACTGATCAAATGTCTGCAACAGCTTCGGCGGCTTCGCATCCAAGTACATCAAGGGCAAGTTCTTCATGGACGTCCACCCGCCCCTCGCCAAGCTCATGATTACCCTCTTCGGCTGGCTCGCTGGGTTTGACGGCAACTTTGACTTCAAGGAGATTGGAAAGGACTACATTGAGCCTGGCGTTCCTTATGTTGCCATGCGCATGTTCCCGGCCATCTGCGGTATCCTTTTGGCTCCTACCATGTTCCTTACACTCAAGGCAGCTGGATGCCGTAGCACCACCGCCTTCTTGGGAGCTGGTCTTATCATCTTCGGTACGTCTGATAGAAAGAAGATCATTCGTACAGCTTACATGACTAACAACCCGGTTCATTTACAGAGAACGGCCTTCTTACTCAGGCCCGACTTATCTTGCTTGACTCGCCCCTGATGATTGGAACCGCCCTTACTGCCCTCGGCTTTACTGCGTTTACCAACCAACAAGAGCTGGGGCCTGCTAAGGCCTTCACGCCAAGCTGGTGGTTCTGGCTGGCCATCACCGGTCTTGGCTTGGGAATCACCGCTAGCATCAAGTGGGTTGGTTTGTTCACCATTGCGTGGGTTGGCAGCTTGACTTTGATTCAGCTCTGGGTTGTGCTTGGCGATTACAAGCACGTTTCCCCTCGCGCGTTCACCAAACACTTCATGGCCCGCGCTTTCTGCCTCATTGTCATCCCTCTTAGTTTCTATTTGGCCATGTTCGGAATCCACTTCCTGTGCCTTACCAACCCTGGTGAGGGTGACGGTTTCATGAGCTCCGAGTTCCAGTCGACTCTGAACTCGAAGGGTATGCAAGATGTCCCGGCCGACATTCTTATGGGTAGCCGTGTTACCATCAGGCACGTCAACACCCAGGGAGGCTATCTTCATTCGCACCCGTTGATGTACCCCACTGGCTCAAAGCAGCAGCAGATTACTCTCTATCCCCACAAGGATGACAACAACATCTGGCTCCTCGAGAACCAGACTCAGCCTCTCGGCATCGATGGTCAGCCCATCAACGGAACTAGCGCGTGGAACAACCTCCCCGAAACCCCCTATATCAAGGATGGCGCGATTCTCCGTCTTTATCATCTGCCTACCCATCGTCGTCTCCATTCTCATGACGTTCGTCCCCCTGTTACCGAGGCTGATTGGCAGAACGAGGTCTCGGCTTATGGCTATGAGGGCTTCGATGGAGATGCCAACGACTTTTTCCGTGTCGAGATCGTTAAGAAGAAGTCTAAGGGCGGCGTTGCTCAGGAACGTCTTCGTACCATTGACACCAAGTTCAAGCTGGTGCACATCATGACTGGCTGTGTTCTTTTCTCCCACAAGGTCAAGCTTCCTGATTGGGCCTCGGAACAACAGGAGGTTACCTGCGCCAAGGGCGGCTCCCTCCCCAACAGTCTTTGGTACATCGAGTCCAACGACCATCCTCAGCTCGGAGCTGACGCCGAAAAGGTCAACTATCGCAACCCTGGATTCTTCGGCAAGTTCTGGGAGCTTCAGAAGGTCATGTGGAAGACGAATGCCGGTCTTGTTGAGTCTCATGCCTGGGATTCTCGCCCCGAGGCTTGGCCTATCCTCCGCCGCGGTATCAACTTCTGGGGCAGGCAACACCGCCAGGTTTACTTGATGGGTAACCCCATCATCTGGTGGAGCGCTACTGCCGCTGTTGTCCTCTATGTCCTTTTCAAGGGCATCGCTATTCTCCGCTGGCAGCGCAGCTGCAACGATTACGCTAACCCCATCTTCAAGCGCTTCGATTACGAGGTTGGAACCTCAGTTCTTGGATGGGCTCTCCACTATTTCCCCTTTTACCTCATGCAGCGTCAGCTCTTCCTGCATCATTACTTCCCGGCCTTGTACTTCGCCATTATTGCCTTTTGCCAAGTCTTTGACTTTTTGACAGCCAGAATCTCTCTCGTCAAGGACAAGGTTATTTTCAATAGACTCGGAGCCGTTTTGTTCCTTGCCTTGTCGATGGTCGTTTTCTGGCTGTTCTCTCCTCTGGCCTACGGTAACCCCTGGACCAAGGCTGAATGCAAGAGGGTCAAGCTTTTCAGCACCTGGGATTTCGACTGCAATACCTTCCCGGATAGCGTAAGTTCCATCTCCCATCAAACCATACCCCCGAGACAAATGCCCGACAGAGGGTAGAGAAATGAAAGCCAGAGCCACTGGGTGTCTCACCCCTTTGGGCGGGCAAAGCAAAATGGATGGCCTTGACGTTCAGTAAGGCTTCGGGCAGGAACCAACAACTTATCACACTACAAAGACTTTCTTGACACAGCAACGACGTACCCTTGGATACTAACACTCCTCGATTGATGATTAGTACGACAACTACTACGGAATTACCCCCACCAGCCAGGCACCTTCCCAGACCCCGGTGGCCACGCCTGAGAGGCCTGTTGTGGCCAATGCGCCTCCTCAGGCTCAGAAGCCTATTGCAAACCAGGAGCAACAAGCCGCCAAGCAGGAGCCTAGTGCCAACCCGGTCGGCCAGCGCGTCATCTCTAAGGAGGAGAAGGTCGAGTATCGTGATCAGGATGGTAACCTTCTCAACGAGGAGCAAGTTGAGGCGCTCAAGGGCAAGGTTGAGTTCAAGACCAAGTATGAGACGAGAACACGTGTCATCGATGCCAATGGCAACGAGATTCAACTCGGTGGAAGCGGTGCACCCAAGGTTGTTCCGGCTCCCAAGGCTTCTCAGCCCGTTGCGCCCCCGCATCCGGATGTCCAAGGTACGTAAATCTAACGCCGTGTGCTGAAACTTGGCTGTACAAGTACTAACACAAGCCCTTCAGGTGTCGACCAGGAGACTTCTAATGTTCCCGCTGCCGAAGAGGCCGTTCCCGAAGCCGAGAAGAGCGTCGACGGAGTGAAAGAAGCCGAAGAGAAGGTCGCTAAGCCCGCCAGCGAGAGCAATGAAGCCACCGCTTCGCAGGAGGTCGAGCAGAGCGAGGAAGTCAAGGCCGCTCAGGAGAGGATCCAGAAGATTGTTGAGCGTATTCAGAAGGTGGCCGACAATGTCGATAACCTGAAGAACAATGTCGTTGAGAAGGCTGGCGACAAGGTCGAGCAGGTCGAGGAGAAGGCCGAGCAGGTCGCGGAAAAGGCGCAAGAGGCCGCTGAACCAGCCAAGGAGAAGGCTGCGGAGGCTGCCGAGAAGGTTGCCGAGAAGGCCGAAGAGGCGACTGAGCAATCAAAGGAGAAGGTTGAGAGTGTGGTTGACAACGTTAAGGAGAAGGTCGCCGAGAGGGCTGAGCAGGTCCAGGAGAAGGCCGCCGAGAAGGCTGAGCAGGTTCAGGAGAAGGCCGCCGAGAAGGCTGAGCAGGTTCAGGAGAAGGTCGCTGAGAGGGCTGAACAGGTTCAGGAGAAGGCCCAAGAAGCTGGAGAAAAGGCCCAGGAAGTGGTCTTGGAGAAGGCCGACCAGGTCGAGAAGAAGGCCGAGCAAGTTGGAGAGAAGGACCAGGAGAAGACGGAGGCGAAGGATGAGCTCTAGATTATTGCGGTGACTACTTGAGGCCACACGCATCTATCCAACCTCATCTTCCAACCATGTCAGATCTATGTACAACAAACACCAGGGAAACTCACAATCTTCTTTAATGAAGGAACAAGCGAACGGGAAATCAAGGCATAGAGATGGATGGTTTAGCCAGATAGAGGGAGGATTTGAGGAATACCATGAAGGAAAAGGAGATATCTAAAAACGAATGTGGGAGTAACGGGTAGTTGTATGGTTCACCTCCGTCCACACACACGCGCACACATAGCTTGACTGGCTACTATTTCCTTACTGTCAATCGAACGGATGTACAATCTACTAAGCTTATCATTGTGTCTCATTAAGAATCTATTTATTTAACCCTTGCAGCTGGTTTCAACCTTCAAGACCATTACCATAATCTGTTTTTGTAGACAGTTGACATTTCCCTTCCTCGGCCACGCCTACCAGGGTCTCTAGAACATCCAGGTCCGGCCATATCTAACCCGGACTTTATCAGCCACGCCAAGCCAACCGGCTTGCTTCCGGAGTCGGACAGGGCTCGGAGTTCGACGTCTAACCCTCAGCCGCTTTGTTCGGAACGCCTCCGAACGCTTTGGTCCTTCTATGTCCAAGAAGTCTGAGAAGCCTGAGACATCGTCCCTGGAATCCGGACGGGCGCCATGTGTAATCTCCGGCTCCGGATCACGTAGAGACATAAGGGAGTTGCTTGGCTGTTTTCGGTTTTCACTACTCCCTGAGACAATAGAGTTTGTTCGTGGGTATGTACCTCTATGTATGAGTGTTGGGGGTAGTTGTTGAGGTGTCTATTCCATTCCATACTGTATCAGTCAGTCTGGCTGTTATGTTCTTGAGTAAAGAGTTGCGAGTTAAGACGCGTAATATTCGAATTGGGAGGTCATGTGTGGATTTAAGAGAAAAGATCAACTCGTTTTCGAAGCCGACCGATATTTTTATAACACTAGGAATACCACGTGTCACTGGCGACATGGGTAAAAAAAAAAGCGTCCCGTCCGATCGGGGTTGATGAATGTCTACCTAAGAATGGAAGCTTTGACCATCATCTGCTGCGACGTTAGCGAAAAATGTCCACAAACTTCAGTTCGCCATTCATGGGAAGTGGAAAGTTTTCGGTCAAGCGAGTCTCATGTCGAGCAGAGGCGATGTCTTATCTTCTAATCGACCCCCGCATTTTGAATCGGGTCTATCATGATTGTTCTCCTCCTTATGTGTGCAACGCTTAGACCTTGTTTTTGTTAACTAATTGACTTTCCTCTCCCGCAATGGTGTTGAACCTTCTTTTCCTTCTAGCCTTCCGTCTTGGGTTTCGTCTTTCTAAGACTTTACATGTCCTGTAACGTCAAACGAATCGAATCGGACGAATGGTGAGGAAGGGCGGGGACAACGTGCTACTTGTGCTAGCGTTGTTGTATTACATAGCTCGCATAGGTCCACCACGATAGCGCTGTAAAGTAGTAGTAGTAGTAGTAGCACGAAAAGCACATCACTTTTGTGTGGTTCTCTCGATGGTAGCGTACATAACCCTCTTGCCATTTCTGGCGTTTTTGGATCTCCATACATATCGTATCCAGATCGTATTCAGACATTGTTGGGCCGCTGCCAAGTCGAGTTGTGATGGAACGTCAAGATGCCGAGATCCTAGTTCTAGTTTGGGGTTCGACTTGTTTTAACTCGTGTTCATCAAAGGTCTTTTTTACCCCAGCTTTTTTGCTTTATCAGACCATCGGATGACATGAGAGAGCCTCATGTTATCTTATCTTGTTATACCTCGGCATTCCGTCCGTAACTAGAGATTTTCATTGGATTAAACTAGTTAATCGGCGCGTGAGAGTCCATCTTCCGATCCATGAAGACAATAATGATGGATGATCGTGAGCTGGACAATCGCGAGATATATTCTAACCGCCGAGCCGCCCTCGCAGTGTGAGATGGGGTTTTCGTTTCCCTTGTGCCTGAATGTGTAGCGGCAAGTCCATGCACGATGTGACCAACTGAAGATGGCCCTGAAGATGTGACGAGTGCCTTCGTTGCAACAGCACCGCCTTGGAAGTTGAGCTATCCCGGCCGCTATGACGCCTTTGGATGCCGTGGAAATCCAGGGGGAAAGGCGATCACTGGGATCAGTGAGATTCCAAAACCGCGAAAATACCGTTACCCTGGATAAAAGCGCAGATCCAAGGAAGTTATCTTTGGGCGACATGAGGAGGATTCCCATTGCCCAGGGCAGCCAACGGATAAGCCGCCCCGTCCAGGGAAACGCAGCCCACTGATCAGGTTGCTGATGCTCGCTGCATGTAACTAAACCAAGGCTAGTTAGTGAGGCTTGCTGATGTTGTGCGTCTCACTTCCCCGCAACAGCGTAACGCAAGGGGATCAAGGACGGGTAACAAGCTGCACTGCACTGTCGCTGCACTGCACTGCACGACAGGTACATAAACCGGCAGAAAAGGATCAGAGGGTCAGGTACAGCGAGCATCTCGTTGGGTCCGAGGGTCATTGACATGACTGGGCTGTGTGAGGTTGTTGGGAAAACAGCAAAAGGGACGGGGACTTTGGTAGTCCCTCGCCATTTACGGTTACGGGCGGGAGCTCGAGACGAGACCACGCACCGCACGGCACTCCGTAATTGAGTGGATTTTGTCTGCACCCATCGCAGATGCCGCCAGCAGCGCAGGGGAGGCCGAGATCCCCACCGGAAGGCCCCGGTCAGGATCTGGGAGCTGCTAACCCGTTCGGGCTATGGCGGACTGGGCGAGATCCCCCGTTCAGGAGCTCCTGGCCACGAAAGATGGGCAGATGGACACCGGGACGGGAGCTGCGAGTTCAGGAGGACGGAAGAAAAAGTCAGATGGAAGAAAAAAATATGGGAATCAAAGCTGAGCTTTCAGCACAACCGACGCTTTAGCATTTTGGTAGGCTGACGCCATTCGCCCGTGGGTAAACAGCGCACGCATGCTGCAAAGGAGCCAAGGCCCGACTTGGGAAACACAGAAGGCGCCAATGACATTTGTCTTGCAACAAACGCAGTCACAAATTAACGACAATCACTAGCCCGGCCACTACCTGGAAGTCGCAGAACACGGATCCGTACCTACTCCGTACTAGTACCGATACAGTCCGGTGGGTTCAAGATTGCAAAGTGGAAGCTGGCTGCAGCAGTGCAGCGCTGTTCTGCGCCATAACGTTATCCACGCGCATATCCCCGTACAAACTTCCACTTGGTCTGCACTTCGACTTTCGCCCCATCTGGCTGCCACTCAGTCCACACGCATCATCCATCATATCTGTCGCTCATCGTCCGTCCCTTTTCGCTCCTTGTCCTGCCCAACTACCTACAACTATTCCAACTATAATTTTCGCTTCCATTCCGTCTTTCAGATTGCCATACTCGGCTTCCCATTAAGCGACTCGACTTTAAGGACATTATACAAGCCCCCGACCGCACCAACCACTAGACACTCAATTTCCCGTATCGACTCCATTCAACGCACCACGCGACTTCCCATCCTTGCGGCACTCCCGTTTGCTTTACATAGCCTTCTCAGCATCACTCGACCGACGCAAGCCCGGTGCGCCCATTGCACGCCACGATAGAGTCGGAAAGCATAACGCCGCCGCCTAGGCCCTTCCTTGTTGCTCCAGCTTCTCCTTTACAGGACCCGCCAGTCCCTGGTGTGGTCCTTAGCAACACCGACAAACTGGATTCGTAAGTCCCCCCCGGCCCTCTTCTAGACTTTCCATCCCATTACCTATGCCTGCTTGGAATCCCTCTCGTTATACCCTCAAGTTTGTCCACAGGCTCTTGGGTCGTACAGTGTCTCGTGCGCTGAACCGAATTGCCCGGCCCAAAGTTGGGGTGCTAGTTCTGGGTAATCCCTCCTGGGATCCAGGAACTACCACTCCTGATACACTCACCTGCCCTCGAGGTCCTCCTCGATGACATCCTCCCATACAAACTGTCACATGGCTGCTGTCCCTGTCTCCACCACTAACGGACTATGGCAAAGCTTTGTCACTGTGACGGGCTGGTCCTCGCACCAGATACCGATACCGGCCAACGGGCGCCTCTCCAAAAGCCACACCCGATCTCTCTCCAGCATCCTCAGCCGTAACAGCGCCTCGAGGGCCTCGATTTCCGATGCACCACCCGAACTTCCATCCGTAAGCGAGCCCACCTCTGGCAATGTACCGCCATCAACCCCGCGTCTCAGACGACCTTTCTCCCCCGCAACCCATCGACGACGAGAACGAGTTGACAACTCTCCCCGATCCACGAAGCCGGGCTATGAGCCCCTCCAGCGCCATTTCAATGACCAGTCATCATCATCCCGATCTCGACCAGGAGGTGGCCACCCTCAGCACGAAATTAATCAACGCAATCAATCATCAGACCACATTGGATGATAACCTATCGCAAACTAAAATGGAGCTAGAGCAGGCACGCGACAGGATCAGGCAACTGGAGAGGACAGTGGAGGAGCAAAGGGAGATGCTGGCCGGTGACGTGTGGGTAAGGAGGAAAACGGTCGAGGCGGAAAAAACAACTCTGCTGGGAGCCATTGCCGAAGAGAAGCAGGCCCGCTTGGATGTGGAACAACAAAAGAAGAAGATCGAACAGGAGTTGGAGAATCTAACAGCCGCCCTATTCGAGGAAGCCAACAAAATGGTCATTTCCGCCAAGGAAGAGGCCAGGATGGAGCAGGAGATCCTGCAACGGAAGAACGACCAGCTCAGGGCACAACTCGTGGATACCGAGGGATTACTCAAGTCGCAGCAGGAGCAACTGACAGAGCTGAAGCATCTCATGGAGGACATGAGCGCCGAGAAGGACGAGCAGATTCCTCCAACGGCGCCTTCTTCTCCAGGCTTCAGCAAGTTTGAGCTTTCAAACGAGGAAGGCCTTTCCGATCGCTTACACCATGGCCACCACAACCGCCAACAAAGCGTGGTAGAGCCCATGTCTCCTTCATATCCTACCAGCTTTACTCACCTCCTTAAGCCCGTACTTCGTACCGACCTAGCATCGTACAACGACTTCAAGGATCTCATTCGCACATCCAAGAGGATCTCTGCCCAGCGCATACCCACACCATCTACCGGGGGCGCACTCACGTCCCTTGGCTTGGGCTTAGGATCGGTAGGCGCTCATCTTGCGCTGGCCAATGCCTCCAGCACGTCTCTTGCGACCATCGCAACCACCCACTCGACCTTCTCCCAAACTCCCGCCACACCCGCATCGGCCGTCACCGCCAGCCCCGGCATCGCTGCTATCCCTCTTCCGGCCTTGAAGGACACCAAGTTTTTATAAGAGGGCCCTTACAGAGGATATCGAACCAACACTACGGCTCGACACCGCGCCAGGGCTTTCTTGGCTTGCCCGGAGGAGCGTCCTTACAGCTATGTGTGACGGGTCCCTGGTAGTAGAGCCAGTCCCAACTGCGACAACGACAACAACAACTGGCAGGTTCGGCAGAGTTTCGAGGCCCGAGTTGAGCCCATGCTCTCTGTGTGGGGAGTCCAGACCAGAGGAGCAGTATCTTCGAAAGCACCGATTCCGGATCAGCGAAAATGGCTCCGCGCAAACTGGATATGCATTATGCCGGTATTGCCTGTCAAGAGTCCGATCAACATGCGATTTCCTGGGATTCCTTCGCATAGTCAAGGACGGTCACTGGCGAGCGGACGACGAGGATGCAGAGAAGGCGGCCTGGGCCGAAAGTGTGCGGTTGCGGGAGCAGATGTTCTGGAGCCGTATCGGTGGTGGTGTGCTCCCGGTCACACATTTCCAGACAAGCCATAGTCGGGCACCCAGTCGGGCTCCTAGTCTTCGGGCTGACAAGAGCCCCAGGACGAGCCTCGACGCTGACAAGGATGGAGACGAGACTCCTGCTGCTGGTGAAGCCCCAAAACTCGCAGTTTCCGTGGCAGCGGTGGCACAGGCGATCGAACAGAGAGCTCGGAGACGAAAATTTCTGAGGTGTCCGAGAAACCCGCTTCTGATATTGCCACGGAGCTCGTCGACCAACCCGAGACTCCCAAGAAGGAGGAGCCCTTAGAGGAGGTAGAGGTGCCTGCCGTGATGAGTGAAGTGTCCGAAGAGAAGGACGAAGTCGTTGAACAAACGATTGAGGCTCCTGCAAAGGACATTGAGGGACCTACCGGAGAGGCCAAGGTGGCTTTCGTTGAGCCCAAGACCCCCGCCAACAAGTTTGAGTTCCTTCCAGCGGAAATTACTCAACCGCTGCCATCCACCGAAGATACCCCAGCTCAGCCTATCAGCCCCGAGGTCGAGCCAGCAATCGAGGAGCCGAAGGAACTTTCTGTGACGATACCCGGAGCTTTCACAGCCTAGATTCCCACGTTCTCTTTGATGGCCAGACACGAAACTGCACTTCGCTTGTCGGTTTGATTATTACTTTTTTTTTTTTTTCTTCGCTGCTGTTTTTATTAAGCTATTATCTTGGTTCACACATTTTTGGAGGGCGCAACATTCAATATATTGGGCGTTTGGTTCAGGGCATTCGTATTCTGTTTCTTTGCTCCTTTTCATATTGAGCACAACTTGTATGATATGATACCGAAGCCGCAATGGGGGTGGGGGGCGGCGTTTTTCCCTCTCACAACCCCCACCACACATAAGCACAAAACGGGGGATTTGGATTATACAAACCTGATAATGGGTGAGAAGGAAATTCTTTTAAAACCACAAAAGACGAAAGGCTGGGAGGAGCGGGAGCTGCTTCCACGCTCACTTACGCTAATGGAAGAACGGAGGCAAAGAAGGATAAAGATATATACAAACTTAATCAGGTTTATTCAAAAGCCACACACTCTCGCTCCTCGCATGTACTTCCGCCTTTCTCAATCTGTCTTTACTTATACTTAGTTTGGGTTTAGCAGGAAGGGGAAATGATGAGGCGGCTGGCGAAGGTCTGGGAACTACCATAGCTAGGCAAATGTGGTGACAGGAAGGAAGTAGAAGGGTCCGAATGAACACACGTACATCAGACCAGCCAGTCTTTACACCCTTCAGCATAATTCATGAACCGTTGTGAATGATACTGTATGTTATTCGGACATCACCGCTCAACTACCGCCAACTAGTTGCGGTTTTGATGGAAGTTGTCCCGCTCACCGACTATGTAGTGTAGTACCAAAATCTCAAAACTCAACAAAACAAGAATCAGAACTCTATACCAGTAAATACATACTTTACCCCCTTTTCCCCATTCCATCTCTTCCATCCCCCCTGTCCCTGTCCTTGTCCCTGTCCTGTCGTCGCGTGGCCCCAATCCCAACCCCCCTTTTTGCTTTACTGTATGTAGTGTAATTTTTTGGTACCTGACTAGGTAGGTAGGTAGGTAGTTTCCGAATACTAGTTCTAGCTACCTTACCTAGAGGCAGTCAGGTACGAACCGTACTAGAATAGGGTCGGGGTCCGTCGGGGTCCGGTTTATCTTGTTATCTACTTGACCTGCTTGACCTACTTGTACTTTTATTTTTCTTGTTGGTTGAAGAAGACGGGCGGGATGAGATGAGAGGATGGTTCGTTTGTGGGTTCGATCGTTCGAAAGGGTTTGGTTTGGTTATTGACGTTGCATAAAGGTAATATGCAGGCGATGAATGGATGGATTTGCAACACCCTGAGTATAAGAAGGAGAGAAGAAAGGAAGGAAGGTAGGAGTTGTTTGTTATTATTAACATTTCTCTTAAAACATGGGTAAAGTACAAGTAGGAGTACAAAAGAGGATGTGATGGATGATCGATCAATCGATCGATCTGCAAAATGCATCGATGTGAAAAGGTCTGTGTGTCTGTCTGAATGTGTGAATGCAAGCTAAGAGGCTGGCTAGAGAAGTTTAAAAAACAGGGGTATGTATAAACGGTGTACCTTTCAATACATGCAGAGACATACATATATGTCCATCTTGTCTGAGTGGGTGGCATATGGGGAAGAAAAAAAGTAATTAGATGGGGTTTGGAAACGAAACGGAGATTAAGTATCCTGCATCAACGACATCATATAAACTCAGAAGGGGGGGTGGGGAGGTTGTTTGTTGCTCCCTTCCTTGGCCGTTATATCCTTTGCCCTTCCCTTCCCTTCCTTCCCGTCACCTCTACTCCCAAGACGAATCCAAACCAAACCAAACCAAATCAGACCAACGCACACGCAACAGCTCAACCTCAACCACCCCTCTCAAATCCCAAATCCTAAAATCTCACAATCTCAAAAATCTCAATCCTCCCACCCCTCCCCCCCTTCTCCTCCCCCAAAATCATACGGATTCCACTCCTGCCCGGGATAGCTCGTAGCGCTCATCATCGGCACCGCATCTTCTTCGTCCTTCTTCTTCCCCCCAGTCGCTGCCCCATTGTTGCCATTCATCCCCCCACCATTAATGTTGTCATCATCCGAAAACACGGGGATTTTCTCCTCTTGCTCGCGAAGTAATTGCTTGCGCTTGGCTTCCTCGAAGATGGAGCGGTCGGTTAGGGGCTTGACTATCCCCTTGGAGTTGGGGTTGGAGGGGTCGGTGAGAGGGGAATTGGAGGGGGAGGAGGAGATCAGGAAGCCGGAGGCTGTGGTAATGACGCCGTTGCCATTGGAGGAGCCGGGTTCGGTGGGCTGGTGGAGTTGGGGTTTGCTGCACTCGGGGCTTTGGGTGGGGGATCGGTCGGGGGATATCAGGATGGGTTGTTGTTGTGGCGCTGGCGCTGGCGCAGCAG